TCCAGATCCCTAGTGGATGTCTGAAACTGTGCACAGAACCAAACCCTATACATGGCATGTTGCTTTTCATTGTACAGACATATGATAAAATTTAATTAGACACAATGGGAGATTAAGAATTAAAAGTAACATATAACATTAGAACAGTCTACTGTAATAAAAATAAGAATATGGTTTCTTTACCTTGCAAAATATTATATTGTACTGTATTGATATTTTCCACTTGGTAATTTTGGATCTTAACTACCATGTACATACATGCTTGTAAATGTGCATGTGCAAACATGTGCACCTGCATACCTGTTTGTATTTACCCATCTCCATCTTCTTTTTTTTGAGACAGGGTCTCCCTGTAGCCCCAGCTAACCTGAAACTTGCTATGTAGACCAGGCTGGCCTCAAACTCACAGAGATCTATCTGCCTACCTCTGTCTCCTGAGTGCTGGGATTTAAGGTGTGCACTACCAGACCCGGCCTACCCATCTCCTCTTAGTCACTCCCTGCCCCCCTTCCAGCTGATCAGATGCTTTGCCCCCAAAGCCTAGGCCCCAAGGCACCAGGACTGTGGGTAACTAAATCCTCAGAAAGGGAAACTGTGAATGAGGGAGAACAGTGTACTGTGTGTTGTTTTAGTGCATGTTAGCACAGACCATGCTCAAGTTACGATAGTATTGTCATTTCTGTCTCATATAAAGACTGAATGAGACAATAACTCAAATGCTAAATTCCTATGGCAAAGTCTGATGAGTGATATATAATATGTATAATTAATTACAATTTATACTATAATACAGCATAGTGTGTTAAACAGTACTGATGAACAGCACAAGTCTGCACTTCCTAAGCTCTGTATCAGGCCCTGTTCTTAGCACTTCTTGTGAACTGGCTCCTGCAATTCTCACATTAGTCCTGTGAAGATAATCCTATTATCCTTACTCCACTGAGGGGAAACTAAGGCACAGAGAGTCTGAGTAACAAATGGTTAAATCCTAGAATCATAAACTCATGGTGCTGGAAGTTGAATCCAGATGGCTGGGCTGGGAAGATGACTGAATTTGCAAAGCGCTTGGTTCATAAGCATGAGGACCTGAGTCCTCAGAATCTATGTAAAAAAGCTGGGCACAGTGATCAGTGCTTGTAATCCAAGCACTGGAGAGACATACATAGGTGGATCCCTGCGGCTCAGTGGATAGCTAGCCTAGTCTACTTGGTGAGCACCAGGCCAGTGAGAGATGCAGTTTCAAAAAGTGTGGACAGCACCTGCAGAATGGTATCTGAGGTGTCCTCTGGCTTCTACATGTATGCACACACATGTGTATATGCACTTGCATATACATGCATACTAGCATATACGTGTACATGCATGCTTGTAAATGTGCATGTGCAAACACGCATGTGTATTCATTCATCTCTTCTTGACCATTCCCTGCCCCCAGCTCAGGTGATCAGATGCTCTGCCCCAAAGCCGAGGCCTCAGGGCTCTAGTCTCCTTGAACCACCAACTTCCTCTGAAACCCTACTGGGCTGACAATCTATGTTTAAATTTTTTTACTGTTTCTATTTTCAGCTGCTACAGTTCTTAGTTCCATTGTGGGAAGATCCCTTGATCAATCTAAAACACCTTGCTTTGCCCTATAAAGGGAACCCCCTATTTCTGGACTTTGGGCAAGAAGTTCAGATTCCCCAACTATGGGAGTTCTGGTTTTGTCTATTTCTGACTCAGTGTTGCTTTTGAAGCCCAAGGAATTCAAACATCATAAAAGACCTCAGCAACACTTGTGCCTGTCACCTCTAGGAGCACACACCTGGGTTTCACATAAGGTTTCATTTGAAAAAGGGCCCAGTTTTAAAACCACTAAAGACTTCTAACATGGTCAGAGTTTCTGTGTGTATACAATTAAAGGAATGCTTAGAAAATATAGCTTTGATTCTTGCATTTTGTGTATGTGTGTATTCATGTGTGTAGGTGCATGTGTGTGCACATGCATGTATGCATGTGGAAGCCAAAGACAACTTCAGATGTTATTCCTTAGGCTCTGTCCACATTGATTATGAGATAGTTTCTCACCAGCCTGGAGTTCACCAAGTATGCTAGGCTAGCTGGCCAGTGAGCCCCAGTAATCTGCCTGTCTTCGCCTCCCCAGCACTGGGATTACAAGTGTGTACAAGCCAATGCTTGGCTTTTTATGTGGGTTTTGGGAATCAAACTCAGGTCCTAACTCTGGCAAGGCAAGTACTTCACCAAAGGAGCTTTGTCTCCAGCACCTCTTAGGCAGGAGAGACACTTGTCTGTCTTTCACCCTTACTGAGTCCTCATGTGCTTAGAACCTGCTCACGGTAGAGTTCAGTGGTCATGGAGGGCTCCATCTTGACTACTCAGTCTCTTATTCTAAATGTCATATGACTTTTCATTGTCACAATGAGTATGCCCTCGACAAAGACTCCCTTGGGTGACCATGATAGTGCTACATTTAGAATGACAGCAAACCATTGTGGAGTCCACAGCAAGCAAATAACTAGAGAAACACATTGAGTGAGAGCCCTCTGGGAAGCAGGAAGCAGGACACAGCAAAGACAAGGTAGACTTCTGTGGGACCTTACCTGTTTTTCGATGAAAGCATTGATTCTCTGTAGCATCCCTTCACATGTGAACTCATATGGCATGTACGGCTCAATCTGCAGAAACAACATGGCACCATGAGAGGGGACACAAGACACGTGGCACTTACCAGTTCTCCATCACTCACACTGGTACCCACACCTAAGGGAGCCTTGGCAGGAGTTAGAACTACAGACCTAGAACTGGACAATCAGGGATCAAGTTTCACTGTGTTCTTCCTTAGACCTTCACTGTGTTCTTCCTTAGACCTGGAACAAACAATTCACCTTCCCTAAGTCTCAGATACTTGATGAAGAAGAGAGTGGTAAGAAAAGTCCACCTCTGTTGAGTTGTAGTGAAGACTAAATGGGGGAAAAGTACTAGTGTCAAGTTCATAGTAGACCTTCAACAAATGGTGGAGATTATCACTTATTAGCAGGTAAGCTATGTGGGGTAAAGACTGTGGCCATGGATCACCTGTATCCTAGGGCCAGGCATAGTATATAACATACAGAGCTTTAGTGAACATCTGTTGAATTAACACATGGTCACTGCTCTGAGAAAGGCATGGGAGAAGGGGCTTAGGCACTGGTCTACAGTAATAGGTGAGGTAAGAGTGCACCCAAAGAACTCATGGTATAAAAAAGGTGATAAAGTGGCACAAGAAGCTCAGCTAGAGGCCCTGGGAGGGCAGAACATCAAAGCAAACTTCTGTTCATGCTGGGCTTTTAAGGCCACAACTTGGGAGGGCCAAGAATTTTGAGACAGGTACTTACGTAGCCTAGGCTGGTGACCTTGCTCTGTAGCTGTGCTGGCTGGTTTTAGCTGTCCAATTCAACATACCCTAGAATCACCTAAGATATTCAACAGAGGAATCATCTAGATTGGGTTGGCCTGTGGACCATGTCTATGGGGGGATTGGCTTGATTGTTAATTGAGGTGAGAAGATTCATCTTGAATGTGGGTGGGACCATTTCATGGGCTGGGCCCTGAACTACATATGAGTAAAGAAAGCTAGCTGAGCATAAGGAAAGGAACAAGCAGGCAGGTTGGGTGCTTTCATTTCTCTTTAGTGCAGATATGATGTGACTAGCCATGGCAAATTCCTGCCAGTTTGACTTGCTCTAATAATGACTATAACCTGGAATTGTAAGCCAAATACACCCCTTACTCCCCTAAGTTGATTCTGGTTAGGGTATTTTTATCACAGCAATGGCAATAAAATTAGAACAGTAACTGAGGGTGACCTCTGATGCTCCTTCTTGCACCTCCAAGAGTGCTGGGATTATAGCTGTGTACCATCACATCTGGTTTATGCAGTCCTGGAGACAGAATCCAGGGCTTTGTGCATGCTAGGCTAATGTTCTACCAACTGAGCTATATCCTTGGCCTGGAATGTGAGATTTGACATGAAAAACAGAGGAAGCTGGAGCTTGAGACTGTGGGTGCTGGTGAGATGAGACAGGAAAGAGACTCACAGTTCCATAAAAACCTTGTGATTTCTAGACTACAGGGGTGCCTGGAAACCTTAGTAGGTGCTTCCTGGGGTGAAGGAGTCACTGAGACTCCTGAAGGAAGGGAAGGAAAGGCAGAACTGAATTGAGGTGATGCTCTGCGGCCAGTGTCCTCGGGTATACCAATGGGAAATGGAAATTGAATCTGAGAGTAAGTCATCAGTGGTTCATTGGTTGCAGCTTCATGGAACCAATAGTACTGTTGGTGACAGGAGAGAGAGCCACCTTCACCAGTTCTCCCCTGAGCCTGCATTTACCTATCTCCCTCATAGCACACTTATATCAACAGGTTATAAACAAGGAGCAAAAGTGCTCTGAGAGGAGAAATACAGGCCAGGGTATGCCTCAGAGTGTCTATAGCAGTGCTGGAATAACTGAACTCCTACACACAGTAAACTTCCATGGGGTGTCCAGCTTCATTTATGTTTTTGGGGTACACACCCAGATAACTGAACTCATATGGATGGGAAACTTCTCTTGGGGTGGCCAGCCTCATCTGTGCTTGTGGAGGTAGATGCCCCTTATCCCCCAGAGTGGCACAGAGAATGCTCTGTGCACACACACAAAAAAAGATACTTAAATGCTCAGAACTGATCAGAAGAATCCAGAAAGGTCACTTTACCAAACAAACACTACAAAAACTACTTTACAAGGCTGGGGAGATGGCTCTATTAATAAAGTGCAGTCCTGTATTATGTAAGAAAGCAGGTTGAGCATGGGCCAGGGGAACAGGGCAGTGTAAGCAGCATTCCTCCTGCCCTGAGTTCCTAACCTGACCTCCCTCAAAGATGAACTGTGATCTGGGAGATGTAAGATAAAACAAACCCTTTCCTCTCTAAGTTGGTTTTGGTCAGACTTTTTATCACAGCAATAGAAAGTAAATAAGACACCTAATCATATCTATGAGCATTAGGTTCAGTGAGAGACCCTGCCTCAAGAAAAACAGTAAGGTGGAAAACTATAGAAAAAGACACCTAACATCAACTGTTGGCCTCCACACGCATATGCATATATATACACCCCCCATGAACGCATATGTACAACACACACCCACACACCCCACCCCCTCCCCACATACACAGAAAGAAAGAATGAAAAAACATCTACTTTACAGCATTTACCCCAGGGTTAAGGTAAAATAAACAGCCCATTTTTGCAGATATCTACAAATGACATAATTAGATCATGTGCACAAGAATGAATTAACCCCTCCACCCACGCCTGGGACTCAAGAGGTCTGTCACAAGGGTCTGTAAAATCCCAACCCACATCTGGCTGCCAGCTGTTTTGCATTTCACAGAGCCTCCTTGAAATACTCAGGTCAGACCCCACAGCTTGATGGTGTTCTGTGTCCAGCTAATATGGACAAGCTACATGTACCAAGAGCAAGGTCCTGCAATGCTCTGCACACATTACAGGTCACAGTGAGAATGTGGAGAGGCAGAAGAAAAGAAGCAACCTTCTGGTTCAAGATGGCTTTCACTGCGTCCTCTACTTCCTCACGATTGCTGAGATCCACAGTCCAGACATGCGGGCGGCCGATGAACACTTCGGCATACGGGTGCTGGGATGTCAGCTGGAAGACAGAAGACAAGTCCCACCCCAGTCAGTTTCACACATTCAGGATCTGTTCTGAAAACTTCTGTACTAGACGATGTTGCGCTTTTTACAGCACACAGTTAAACCTCAATGAGAAATGATACATTCTTGTCCTTTCCCTTAGTAATCAAATGTCCTAAGGATACACAGGGAGATAATAGTAAAAAAAAGGTAGAGATGGCTCCAAAGTTTGAATCCCACTTGGAAATAAAAGAAGGTCATAACAAGGAGACAAGGAGGCCATGACAGGTGTTTTTTTGCTTTTGTTTGGTTAGGTGGTGCTGGGGACTGAACTTAGGATCTTGTGCTCAGTAAGCAGGTACTGCATCACTGAGCTGTACTCCTAGCCTTTTGTGGTAGTTAATATATTGATTGTTGAACTGACAGGATCTAGATTCACCTAGGAGACAAACCTCTAAGCACCTCTGTGAGGGAGTTTCTAGATTTCATTAATTAAGGTGAGAAGACCCACCTAAATACGGGTGGCACTATTCCATGGGCTGGGGTCCTGGACTGAGAAGAAGAGAAAGTGAGCTGAGCACCAGCATTCCACACTCTGCTTTCTGGCTGTGGATGCAATGTGACCAGTTGCCTCACACTCTTACCACCGTGAAGTCCCTGTCATGGACTGCATCTTTAAACTGTGAGCCAAGGTAAACCTTCCATTCCCTAACTTGCTTTTGTCAAGTATTTTGTCACAACAATGGAAAAAGTAGCTACAGTCCACGATGGAAAGAGCACTGGCTTTGGAGTCTACTGACCAGACCTGGAATCCAAGCTCTGCCAGGGGCTTAGATATATGACTCTACAACAAGTGACATAAGCTCCCTGTGCCTTGGTTTCCTAATCTGAAGGGTGGGGATAATAACTCTCAAGCAGGTGCTGTAGAGAATGAACAAGATCATGTTGAGGCAGGCCTTACGAGGTCCATGATTGGCTACTGCCACCCGTGTTCATCCATGACTGGGAAGTCACAATAATGATCAAGGCTGTAAGCCAGACATGATGGTATATGCCTGTAATTTCTATACATGGCAGCCAGAGATAGCAACATCACAAATTTGAGGACAGGTTGGGACTACAGTGAAAACCTATCTCAGAAGAAAAGAGAAGAGTAACAGCACACACAAGGCGACAGCAGGAGAGACAGTGCCATCCGAAGAACCCAGAATTTTCCAAATGGATTCAGGAATAACCATAGCAACAGGAGAAAAATTTTATTTAATGTCCTTATTTATGTGTATGGGTATGCACACATGTGTGCAGGTGGCCACCAAAGCCAGAAGAGGGTATTGAATACCCTGGAGCTGGAGTTACAGGTGGTTATGATGGGAACCAAACCTGTGTCCTCTGCAAGAACAGCAAGTGCCCTTGACTGCTGAGCTCTCTCTCTAGCCCCAGAACATGAAATTTATAAAGACAGCTCGGAATAAGAAAAGGAGTGAGTTTCCCACTTAAAGGAGATTTTATTTTAAGATTAAAGATGTGGCCATGGCAGATGAGATGGCTCAGCAGGTAAGGGTGCTGATGAGCACTGATGGCTCAGGAGCAAGCCTGATGGCCTGAGCTCGATCCCTGGGACTTACATGGTGGAAGGAAAGAGCTGATTCACTAAAGCTGTCCTCTGACCTCCACATGCATGCCATGACACATGCACACCCCTCACACAAAATAAAATGGATAAATGTGATAAAAACAATAAAAGTGAGGCTAAAGGGGGCTGGGAGGTGGCTCAGTTGATTGTGTTCCTGCCTAGCACGCACAGAGCCCTAGGTTCCATGCCAGAACTGCATAAAACCAAAATGTGGTAGTGCACGCCTGAATCCCAGCACTCCCAGCAGGAGGATCAGGAATTTAAGCTTATCTTCACCTACACAGTAAGTCTGATGCTAGCCTGGGCTTCACGAGACTCTGTCTCAAAAAAAAAAAAAAAAAGTTAAAGAAACCAAATATGCAGCTTGACGATTCTGATTTCATCAGAAGTTCATTCTTCAAGTCAGCTAAACTTGTTAATCATGTCTCCCACGCCTCTTCTTGAAGTAGTCTAACAGGAGCCTTCTACACAACTGGGGAAACATTTCAGGTGGGGGACCAGAGATGCCTGGTAAGGACATCAGGACAGTCATGCACGGGAAGACTTGTCCATTCCCCAAGAAACTTTTATTCCTTTGGTGTTGGGAATTGAACATAGGGTCCTGTGTGTGTTAGCATGTTCTTTACTACTGAGCTATGTTACCAGCCCAAACAGTTTTCAGATGTTTTACTGGGCTTTCATGTGGATTTATCAAATAGAAGTCCTTGATACAGTTTGAATATATATTGGATTTTCCAAGCACAATTACACATACAGCATATACATTGAAAAAGTTTGTACTCTTTTTTTTTTCTTTTTTGAGATAGTATTTCATTGAGACCAGGCTGGCCTGGAACTCATTTTTTGGATAAGGATGACTTTGAATTTATGATCCTCTTGCCTCTACTGCCTAAGTGCTGGTATGACAGGTGTGTAGTACCGTGTTGAGTTTATGCAGTGCTGGAGATAGAAGCCAGGGCTCAGGCATACAGGCAGGTGGGCACACTACCAACTGAGCCACATCCCTATGCCTTGTATTGTTTTATTTGGGACTTCATCCATGAGCAGTCACCATTACAGATATACATCACAGCAAAACCAATGCCACTGTGGCTATTCTCCTCCAGTAAAATATGCCCACATGGGTAGATACCACATTAGTAACAGTATGCATATGTGTGTGATATGTATACATACTGGTGGTCAGCTCCCTTTTCATATGTCGACTATCAGAAAACAGGTGACAGTGTTCAGCCGAATGCTTTCTTTTTAAACATGAGCATTCACTGGAAGGAGGAATGAAACATCCCATCTTCTACTACAGTTCTTGATATGTAATACTGAATCAAATATGTATTACTTTGTTAGAAATTGTTTTCCATTTATTTCTTTGTTATACAGTGGAATTAGAGATTTTAAAAAATGATCTATATAGGCAGGTTCTATTACAAAATATTTTGATTCAATATGAATCAATAAAGTCCCACATTGGGCTAGGTATTGGCACACATATTATTTATCAAGTTTCTTATATATCAGGAGGATTCTAAGGTTCTTGGGCATTTATGAGTTCTAAGACCACACAGCTAGAAAACAGCAGAGCCAAGTTCAAGTCAAAAAAGTAATATCTTTGTGTGTATGTGTGTTTGTACATCTGTGTTTGTGTATGCATGTATGCACATATGTAGAGGCCAGAGTTGTGTTGTTCCTCAGGACCCTGTCCACCATTTTTATTGAGACAGGGTCTCTCACTGGCTCTAAACTCACCAATCAGCCTAGAGTAGCTGGTCAGAGAGCCCCGGGAATCTGCCTGTCTCTGGCCCTTATGCCTCTTCCTTTCCCTCCCAGTGTTTGGACTATACGTGCTTTTTACCTGGGTTCTGAGAACTAAACTCAAATCCTCCAAGCACCTGGAACCCAGGGCCTCTCGAATACTTGGCAAGCACTCTACTAACTGACTCACATGCCCAATTCTGTCTTCCCAGTCCCAATTCAATAGCTTGGAGCAGAAAAGAAGAGGATGCTTTAGAGAATGTTGCTGAATTCTTAAGACAAAGATGAACAGAGCCTTTAAGTCACTCTTAAAATTCACCAACATAAAAACTACATCCCAGGGCTGAATTTATGCACACATTAACCCTTTTGTGAAGATGAACAGAGTGTCACATCATTTCCTTTTTGTGGCCTCAAGAAAAAACTAATTAGTCTTTCCATGGGTGAATTAAAGCTGCCATCAGTATCACCATTCAGTAATTTCCATATTAGCTGAGGCTCTCCCTCCCCTCTTTTAAGGCCTCTGCTTATTTACAAGGCTGCTTTAAGCACTTAGAAAACACACAACACTGAGCTGTCATTTGCATTTATTGAGGGTTACTTAATTTTACGAGGTAGCACATGGTGATTCATTAGCCCTCTCTGAATGCTGTGTTCCTCCTTGTTAATTTATTGGGGACTGGATGATCTCAGCCACTTCACTGTGTATTGGGTCAGTAGATTTATTGGAGTATACTCTGATTAAGTAGTCAACACCTTGGTAAATATGACACAGGACTTTAGAATGGCCATTAAACCTCCAAGGAGAATATGAGTTCTCCTTGTAGGAAAAACCCAAAGGTAGAAAGTTTCTAACAGTTAACAAAGTGGGAGAATAACAACCTAGTAATATGTTTCCCAATATATAAAGATAAAAATGTAACTTATATTAAGCAGAATGAACCAATTCTATTACTTCAGGCATTATGGGATTCCCCCATCTCACTGAGTAGACACTATAATTTTAAAAACTGGTCCAATGTAAAAATAAAAACAAAGTTAAACTTGCATTTAGAAATCTCGATTTTTTTTTTCTTCTCTTCAAGGGAAGGCAAAGACTCAGAGTCTATTGATCATCATCAATTTATGTGGGTGAGCTGCTAAGGCATGAAAGATTCATATGGACAGCTTTGAATTATGTGACTTTGGGTAAAAAAATTTCCATCTTCTGAGGTAAGAAATATAACTTCTAAAGTTTGTGTGATGTCAGGTGTTCTCCTCGCTGACTCTCCACTTCATTTTTTGAGACAGGGTCTCTCATTGTACTTGAAGCTTGCTGATTTGGCTAGACTGGCTGGCTAATTGCTCCAAGTATCCTGTCTGCCTCACTAGCACTGGCATTACAGACATGTGCCACCACACTTTTTTTTTTTTTTAAATTGTGTTCTAGGTATGGAACTCAGGATTTCATGCTTGTAAGGTAAGCACTCTACCCAATGAACCACATGTCCAGGCCCCTCTAGAGGTTTTGGACTAAGAAATCTATAGACCTGGTGACAGCTCTTTTAAAAGCATCTTTGGCTAAGGAGATGTGGTGGCTTTGTGGCACTAACAGGTAGCCTTCCTGGCCATGAGATCAACGTCACCATCCCCTTTCAGAGCTTCCAAGTGTTGCTGGGGGGACTGGGCGTTGTATGAAATGTGCTTTCTTGCATGAAGAAAACTCACCTTGGGTAACCACTGTTCATCCATGCTGGTGACTTTTGGGCTAGCAGTCCCCTTTCCTCCTTTCTTTCAAAGCCCACCCTATCCTCTTTCAGTTGAACATTCTCCCCGGGCACAACTCTAAGTTAACTCCCCTTCATTTATCCACTTAACTATCTTTTATTTTTTGAGACAGGGTCTCATGATCCAGGCTGTTCCATAGCTGATGATGACTTCTGATCCTCCTGCCTCTACTTTCTGATTTCATATGGTTCTGGGGATGGAACCCAGAGCCTCTCACATACTTGACAAGCACTCTATTAACTGAGCCACATCCTCAGCCCCACTTGGCCCTCTATACACTACACTGATGATGCAGATGCCTTCTCATGCTTCTACATCAGTCAGGGAGCTCCTAGAAAATGGGATACAGCCCACTAAATCCCTCCAGTATGGCGGCTAGTACCAGACTACATGGGGACAGGCTCAGCCTCAGTCCCCTCCCTAAGTCATCTGGGTGGGGTCACTCAGGGAGCTACTATTGACCAGATTCCACACTCTCTCCTGGAGTCTCACTGAAGGGCTGGCGGAACCAGCCCATGCAGCTGTATCCAGGTCTCTTCTCCCTTTATGCCACACAAAAATGAGCATTCTCCCTGACCTCAGTATAACTGGATTACTACATGATGGAAAACGACAGAGAACAATGGACACATTATCCTGATAACTCCACACTAGCTGATCTGAGCACTGCAGCAACATCATCCCCTGGGCAAAGAGCAGAATATGTTCAAGAGTGTCCAATTTGTGTGCGTGTGTGTGTGTATGCATGTTCATGTACATATGCAGGTACACATGTGTGCACGTGCATGAGGAGGCCAGAAATCAACCTTGGATGTTGTTCCTCAGGTGCTGTTTACCTTGTGTGTGTGTGTGTGTGTGTGTGTGTGTGTGTCTTTTAAGACAGAGTCTCTCATTGGCCTGGAACAAGCTGTAGAAGCTAAGCTGGCCAGCTAGTGAGCCCTGGGGTCCATCTGTCTCTATCGCCCAGTTCTGGGATTACACATGAGTGTGTTCCATGCCTATTTTATTTTTCTTTTTTTAACATGAGTTCAGGGGAACAAACTCAGGTCTTCATGCTGTGCGTCAAGCACTTTGCCTACTGAGCTATAGAGAAAATATTCCCAAATTTTATATGATAAAGGGTTAACTCCCTAAATATCAAAGGGGCCTCTACCACTCAATAGCACAAAACTTCAATAAATCCAATTTAAAAATAGGCAAAGAATCTGAATAGATATTTCATTAAAGACTTCCAAAAAGCAAACACATAGAAGAGGTGGAGAAATGATATCCGAGGAGCAGTCTGCCGCATGCGGGGGAAGGGGGGATGCATTTAATCTACTCTTTGGTGGACAAGTTCAGGAAAATGACCTGAGGGTTTGAAAAAACAAATGCTGTAGAAATAGTTGCTGCTGTCACAGGAGGGCTGTCCATCACAGTAATCCCCCAGCTGAAGGCCCTGAAGGATCCTGCTTTAACTTTCCTGTGCATGAGCAGCCAGGAGAGCTACTAACTGCTCAGAAACAACAAGAAAATCAATCTCACGGTTTCTTGCACACACCTGTTTCTGCCGAGAAACAGCAGTAGCCCCCACTTCCCTGCTGCACTGATCACCCACACTAAGCTGTAAATGACTTCTGCTTATTGTCCCACATGAAACCCAGCCATGCTCAATGGTGATTCATCACCTACTGCGGATTTCCAGAGCATCTCTGAAGGGAAGTAGAACGAGGCTTCTGTGAATGGCTCCAGCAATGAGTGGACGGCTTCACAGGATGGGGCCTGCTGATATGGGCTAAAAACTCAGGCACTTTCCCTTCACCATCCATGGTGTATCTTTCTCTTTTTCTTGGGTTGATGGCGTGTGTGTGTGTGTGTTGTGTGTGTGTGTGTGTGTACTTGTGTGCACAGAGGCCAGAAAGTCAATGTCAGGTGTTACTCCTTAGGTGCTGTCATGGAACTAACTAAGGAGACTAGGCTGGCCAGCCAGTGAGCCTCAGGTTATCTACTCTGCCTCCTCAGTGCTGAGATTATAAGTGTGTACTGTATGCCCAGCTTTTTGACAGAGTTCTGGGGACTGAATTCAGGTCCTCATGCTTGCATGGCAAACACGTTATTGATTGAGCTGTCTCTCCAGCTCTGAGCCGAGATTCTTTGGCAACAATCACTGACCACATTTTTTTCTTCACTACCTGTAATGGAGAGGTGAGTCTCTACAAGTGTTACTCAGTTGCCTCCTCATTCCCTAATTAGAAGACTAGAACATCCAGGCTCACCTAAAATGGAACAGGGGTAAGGGCTGGAGAGTTGGCTCAGAGGAAAAAGCATTTGCTATGCAAGCATGAGGACCTGAGTTCAAATCCCCAGCATACACTGAAGAAAGAATCAGTGTGGGCATGACAGCTCACCTTTAATCTCAGAGCCTGGGGATCTCAGGGCAAGCCAGCTAGTGAGAGCAGTCAAATCAATGAGCTCTGGATTCAGCAAGAGACCTTGCCTTAGTAAATAAAGTGAAGATTGATGGAGAAAGACGTCTGATGTCAACCTCTGGCCTCTACACATGCATGTATGCATGTGCACACAAAACACACATATGTGCCTCCCCACAAAGCAAAACTAAAAAGAAACTAGAATGATCTTGATACTCACCTCTCTCAGTGTTGGCTTGCCAATGAAAAAGTCTGTGTTTTTGCTGCTTTTGGGAGGACTGAACTTGGGGTTCAGGAAAGCACATCCATTTGCAATGGCTTCTAGGGGAGCTGGGCCCTCGTAAGGGAATCCAAGCCCAACAAACAGCTGTAAGACAGGAAAATACATCATATTAACGCCTCAGTCAGGACCGGCCTCCTAGCTCACAGGGGACCGTCCCTGTGGACTCCTATAACACTCTGTAACGGTCCCAAACCTGGAGGGTGGGTGGCTTGTGGCAAAGGGAAGGGGTTTACATGAGGATCTGCAGAACAACAGGGAGCCTGTGCAAGTCCCCATGAAGTGGCTTGCCATGCTGTTTTCCTTTTCTGCTATGAAAGTTAAGAAGCTCCAGGGGTGGTAAGGGGGTAAGGAGGTCAGAGTATAAAATGAAAAACAACAACAAAACCCAAGACCTAACAATCATCTTTCTGTCACTCTGTAAGAGACACGACTGGAAAAACACTTGCTTAACTAAACAGAAGGTTTCTTCACCCAAGCAGGGGAACAATGGGCCCTTTCAGGGACACCGGAGCCCAGGGACAGAAAGGTCATTTGGTGGTCTGATTACAGTTCAAATGGAGCTGCTTTGGAACTTGGGTAGGTCAGTAAACACAGGTTTTCCAAATAGGGTTTTCACTGGGGATGCCACTGGCTGGTGGGGGTTTTATTTTTTTTGTACATGGAAGCAGAGGTTGCAGTGTTGCAAAGTCTGCAACTCCCCCAGCGTCCTTCCCCAGCAAGCGAGCCATGAGTTCCTGCATATGGACTGTAGATGGTAGCAGAGACACGCTGAAGGTCCTTGGTGCACTCAACAGCAGGGAGCCCCGGGGACAAAGGGGATGTGCCACCATGGCTCAGTGAGTTCAAAAATACAACAGTCTCTGTGTATGCCAGGTGTGGGCATACTGTGCACTGCTGCAACCAGGCAAGGTCTAGGTCTGGCACTCTCTGCCTACATGCAGGACCCAAGTCTAAAATGGCTCCACTTGACACATCAAGTGACAAAGGATGTGTTTGAGTTTGGGTGTGGGGGGGAGGGGGAGCAGGCAAGGGTGGGGTGTGTGTGTTCCTTGTGTTTTCATGTTTAGGAACACTCAGACAGTCTCACCCCAGTGATTCCCTCCACTCCCAAGAAATGCAGGCAGGGATGGAAATAGTCTAATGATTAGACACTTGTGCCTCTTCCTTTGGCTAGGGACTATTGAAACAATGCACCCCAAGAAATTGGAGTTTTCTCAGGAACCTCAAGCTGGGGGAAGGGAAAGGCTGAAGCCTGGTACCAGCCAGACAAAGAACTTGTCTCTCAATTAGAGATTTCACACAGTACTTGTCAGACCACATTGCAGGAGAGACTGGGGTCTTGACAACTAAATGATGGGCAGGACCACATCTTGACCAGGACTGCTTAGCTATGCCCCTTGCCCTCTGTTTAAACCTAAATCTTATGTCAGGACCCCAAAGACGGATTTGGGAGGTCACTGGAAAGAAGACCTTTTTGTTCTTCTTCCCAATATGGCCACGCTGAATAAATCTCCTTTTTCTTCTTTTCATGATTACTTGCTTCTTTAACAGGCCCATAGAGGATAGCTAGCCCAAGGCAGCTTGTTAGGGTGGCCCAGGGCCCAGGCTCTGACCCGAACAAGTCTGGTAAGGGTTGGGAACGCAGGATAGCATAAGGCATCTATTTCTTTTTGACTCTGAGGAAAAAAAGTTAGCAGATACAGAGAGTCTCTGCAGATTTAACAAGAGCTGTTGGAGCCCATGATATTTCTTGACTGCTAGAAATCAGGGTCTGCCATGAAGTATCATTACCCCCCTCAACTCTAAATTGTCAAAAACAATTTGGGAGGAAGTGGAAGGAGCACAATGCTTGTCCACTTAAATAGAAAATCTTGGGGAAAATTAATTATCTCCTTTAGATCAGCCAATCTGAGCCTATTAATTAAAATGATTTGAGGCTGTTGCTTGATGAACTTGAATGTGACCTAGGTTTAATTATATCTGAATAACAATTTGGATCAACTCTATGCTCTACTGGCACCGGACTATCTCTATACATATAAACACTTTGGGGGCTGGGGGGTGGCTCAGTGGTCAAGTACTTGCTGCACAAGTGTGTAGATCTGAGTTCAGATCCCAAACCCCACACAAAACTGGATGCTGCAGCACACATCTGTAATCCCATCTCTCCTGTGGAGAGATGGAAGGTAGAGACAGGAGAATCCCTAGAAGTTCAAGGGCTAGCTAGTCTGGTGTATGCGGCAGTGAACAATAAGGGACTCTGTCTCAAACAAGGTAAGGTAAGGATGGATACCTGGGGTTGTCCTCTGACCTTCTCTGACTATGTCACAAGTGCACCTTCACACACACACACACACACACACACACACACACACACATCATATATATATACATATACAAAGATCAAATAATAGACACTTTGTTCTAACTCTCCCAAGCCCCACTATCTTCCAAGGACACTTGTGCAAACACCACACAATTTCTTGGCAATGAATTTTCTTGTCAAACTAATTAAGATAGCAGGAAATACATGGCTTGAAAACATCAGAATAACAGTTTTCTGTTAGCTGTCAATAAGTGATTTTTCCCTTGCCTCCTATGACACCACAACGGATCACATGTATGGAGGTTAAATAGCATACTGAGGGTTGAATGACAGCAGGAGAGGCAGAGAAAATTCACCATCTCCAACAGGAAGCTTCTGCCTACCTATGGTTTTGCCACACAGGGTACTCAACTATGCCAACTTGTTTTTCCCCTAACCCTTCACTGCTCTATCATGGTGCCTACTTATAGGTTTCTTTAGCATGGAAGCAAGAGGCCAAGGCAGAAACACATTCAGTGGTTGGGAAGATGATTCAGTCAGTAAGAATGCTCTGTTGTGTAAGTATGAGGACCTGAGTTTGAATTCCCAGCACCTACATTAAAAGCTAAGTGTGGTCACATGCTCCTGTAAGCCCAGCACTGTGGTGGGTGGAGGGAGCCAGCGTAGCTCCAGATTCATTCAGCCCAAGACCCTGTCTCAAGGGAATAAGGTAGAGTGTAAAAGAGTAGGGCATACAACGTCCTCCTCTGGCCTCCACACGTGTAGGGGTATAGGGGTGTATACATCTGTGCACAAACACCCCATACACGCTCACTGTCCTAGTTAGATTTAACTGTCACCTGATTAAGGAGTATTAATTGAAGAATTTCTCTCAGATCAGATTGGCCTGTGGGCATGTCTGTGGGGGACTATCTTGATTATTGATTAACATAAGAAGGCCAGCCCACTGTGGGTGGTGCCATTCCCTGGGCAGGTGGTCCTGATTTGAATAAGAAAGCTAAGCATGAGCCTACAAGCACAGCCAGCAAGCAGTGTTCCCCCATGGTTCCTGCTTCAGGTTCCTGCCTTCAATGACTATAACCAGTAAGCTGAAACAAACTCTTTCCTCCCCTAAGCTGCTTTTTGGTTTCATTACAGCAAGAGAGATGAAACTAGAGCATAAGTCACACACACACACACACACACACACACACACACACACAACGGAATGTTAGGACCAGGCGTGGTGGTGCACACTTTTAATCCCAGCACTTGGGAGGCAGAGGCAGAGGCAGGCAGATCTCTGAGAGTTCAAGGCCAGCCTGGTCTACATAGTGAGTTCCAGGACAGCTGGGGCTACAGGGAGACCCTGTCTCAAAAAGGGGGGGGTGGCGATGTATTCAAGTGCTAAGGTTGGTTAACTCTTAAGGAGAAAAACTGGCCATACTGCACACTGTGTGTCTGAGTTCTGCCTTCAGAGCCCATAGTCTAACATGGGTATTCAAGGTGGCAGACCACATTATAGCCACAATTGAAGCTCCACCAATGACTGTTTCTAAACAGAAGGAGCACATACTCCAAAATTAAAATTTTGACCCAATGATACATGGGAAGTTCAGATAAAGCCCTATGTATTTTATTCAATGGCAAGGATTGGAATACCCCAACAGTTACTGAATTCTTTTTTTTTTTTCTGTTTTGAAAAGAGAAAGGATTGTTTTAATCACAGAGTTAACAAAGATTCCTTTAACCAGGAACACAGGTATCCTTGTGAGTACAGTCCGTGTTTGACCAGTTTCACTCACTTCTATTACATGTATATGCATGTGTGTATGGGTATGTGCACGTGTGTGTGTGTGTAGGCCAGAGGTCAACCTTGTGTGTCTTTCTTAGTCATTTTCCACCTTAATTTCTGACACGGGGACTCTCATTTTTACCTGGAGCTAACCAATTTGGCTAGGCTGGGTGGTCAGCGAGTCCTGGGAATCCACCTGTCTTCACCTCCACAGCATTGGGATAATAAGCGTCACCATGCCCAGTTTTTTAGATGAATTTTGGGGATCAAACTCAGGTTCTCACGCTTGTGTGGTAAGAACTTTATCAATAGCCATCTTCTTAGCTTCAGTCTCATTTATCTGTCTGTCTGTCTATCATCTAGCTCTGTGTGTATGGTGGGGATTGAACCCACAGACTCATACATACTAGGCAAGTGCTATCTCACTGGGCAAGTGGCTATATCACAGAGCTGTACTCCAGTGTTGTTCCAGTCACTTTTGATGAGGAACACCAAGAATAATTAAATACCGAGCCCACATAAACTCAGCATGTATTTTTCTGATCATTGTTAATTGGCCAGTAGGGGAGACTCAGGAGAGAGTTTGAGCAATGAATTAATCTCAGCTTACCCAATAAATTGATTGCTGGTCAACGTGGCAGAGAAAATGAGATGATTAACAGTATATGTTGTACAGTCAGGAAGCCCAAGGTTCAACTTCCCATGCCACCGTTTCCTAGTTCAGTAAAAGTAGTAGTTGCCTCTGTGTCTGGGCATTCCAAGGCTCATTTATAATCTCTTCTATCTAGTGCTAGAACCTTACCTAAGGCAATACAAACACTCTGTCTTCTCAGGTATAAAGTAGAGCAAATACCAGATGCTTTATTTCATGGAGTTGTTGTGAGGATTGAATGAGATATTATGTTGAAACCACAGTAACAGAGATGAAGAATTAAGCAAAAGTAAAACCATACCACCCTAGTGAGTCCTGATTTGCAGGTTTCAACTGCTCTCCTGGGGTCTGGTAGAGCAAGTGGCTTGTCTGTGGTCCTCAGAGAAATCATTCAGTTATTGAAATTTATAGTTCTATTAGAAGAGGATTATAGATTTACAACAGGTTCCTAGCACTTTTACTCCCAATGTTCATGTTATACCAACATCCTCCTGCCTTCTGAATCCTGGGCCCCCAAGGGCATCCTGAAATGAAAATTCTACTGAGCAGAGGGTTCTCTGGACCTGAAAGAATTTCAAAGATAGCTTATAAGCTAGAGATATATGTCAGTGGCAGCATGCTTGCCCCAGAATGCATAAAGCACTGAGTTTAATTCCCAAATAAGGCAAACATCTCAAAGACAGTTTATAACCATGAGCCATTAATATTAATATATTAATATATACTTGTCAGATAAACATGAGCTATGTAATCCATCATGGGCTTCCTCATGGGATACCTATTTTTAATTAATTTTTTATTTATGTATATGTGTGTGTCTGCTTGTCTGTATGAGTGCATATGCCTGCAGTGCCCTCAGAGGCCAGAAGAGGGAGTTGGAATCCTGGAACTGTGGCTGTGAGCTGTCTGATATGGGTACTGGGAACTGAACATGGACTCTTTGAAATAGTAGTACACTCTGTTAACTGCTGAGACATCTCTCCAGCCCTGGTACTCATTTCTTTAAAGGGTGAACATTCTTCTCATGCTAAAAAACTGAGGGGCACTCCTGGCTGTTTGGCCTTCTCTGTCATCATAGCTGGGTCTTAGGGTTTTTTTTTTTTTTGTCCTCTTCTGAATGGAATGGACTTCAGTTTTAGTCTGTCTTCCGTTTTCTGTCATGGTAAATGGATGGTAGGTAAATAAGTGTTCTTTTAAAATCTGCAAGGCTGAGGGAGACATTCACGAAGCCGGGTAAATAGATGAGTGTGAGACAGTAATGACAGACTGTGAAAACCAGTTCTGTTACTTGTTATTTTAAAGGAACTTGAACTTTTGGCAGGATCTCGTGCAAAGAAAAGTTAAAAGAGGCAAATGGCAAAAAATAGTACCACTGTGAAAGGGCCCCGGACATCCTGATGACTAAAATGTCAAGCTAAGAAAGAGAACAATAGGAAGAGAACAGTGAAACTGGGGGACTCCCCACCTACAGAGGGCCACAGGCAGTCACCAGGACAGGTGACCCTGGAAGGAATTAAAGCCTTCATTAAAACAAAGCAGGTCTTGGCCAAAGAGTTAAAGAATTTGTCAAACTATTTTACCCATGAAATCACACATATAACTTAACAGCAGAATGGACCACATATGTTTATGAAGAAGGCAAAGAACAGGCATTTATTCTTTTAACTGGTGGGTAGCCATAAAGTTTTGTTTTTGTGACTTGTATTATAATTGTGTATGTCTCTCTCTCTGTGTGTGTGTGTGTGTGTGTTAGTGTACGTGCGCATCTGTACCATGGCATGTGAGTTGAGGTCAAAGGATAATTTTAAGTGGGAGTCAGTTTTCTCCTGGAACTCAGGTCCTCTGGCTTGTGAAGAAAGTACCTGTTGGGTGATCTTTCTGGCTCCCTGCTGTCCCACATTAAAAAATCCACCCCCCATTTTTGTGCATGTGAGAGCAGGTGCATGCATGCCACAGTGCAAGTGTGGAGGTCAGAGGACAACCTTGGGTGTCAGTCCTTGCCTTCCATCTTGTTTGAGACAGGGTCTCTTATTGTTTACTGCTGTGTATACCAGGTGAGCTGCTTGAGGATCAGTTTTTCTCTTTGCTTCACCATAGGCACTGGGTGTACACTACTACCACATCTGGCTTTATGTGGGTTTTTGAGGATCCAAACTCAGATCCCCATGCTTGTATGGTAAGCACTTTACCCACTAAGCCATCTCCCTAGCCTTCCATGAAGATGGTATGCCAAGGGCCTGGCAGAGTTTTAATTTCCAATTAGTAAGTATCATCAGTTGAAGCCACCTCCATGATTTGACCTCAGTCTGCTGTGAGCATCCCAGAAGTCTAGAATTCACAGTGACAATGACTGTGACCACCTCTTAAAGCTACAATGAGATGCACCTTCTGAAAACCAAGTTGGCTGGGGAGACTGGTTAGTAAAGTAAACTCAGGATTAAACCTGAGTTTAATCCCTAGAACTACATAAAATAAGCCAGGCATGGTGGCACATGCTGTAACCCTAGTGCTGGAGATAAGTGGATCCCTGGGGATTATTGACCATCTAGGCTAGTCTACTTGATGAGCTTAAGACCAGTGTGAGATCCTGTCTCAAAAAAGCAAAGGTGGTCAGTGCCTGAGTAACAAAATCCAAAGTTGACTTCTGGCCTCTGCACATATGCACATATACCACATATATACTCATGTACAATCACAAACTCGAGCACACATACACAAATAATTCTCAGTGGTTGCCAAACCACCTACACCACAGGGCCCGAAATCTGCCCATGTCTGTGACAGACCCCATTCTTATCAAATGTCATTTTCTAACAGCAACTGTAGTTAGACTGGCTTTTAATTCTCTCCTGAATATGTCACTGGCACCTGGGCCACCTGAATCTGACTCTTTATGGCCCAAATGTCAGGTATGTCTACACCCCAGCCACCTCTCGGGTCTTCCATAATACTTTCCTCGCTTCCTGAGTTAGTGGGACTTTGTATTCATCTGAGCCTCCTTAGTGTCCAGCACATACTTATGAAAGGAAGGGGTGTGAGGAGAAGTTTGCCAGGGACTTGGCCCCTTGAGCAGGGTGATTGGGTGGGGAGTTTGGCATCTATGGCTTCTGTGAAAGCTGCTACCCCGTCAAAAGCTGTCCTTCCAGATGGGAAGGGCCTTACCTTTTCAACCTGTAGCTCCTGACTTGCTGCCCAGCATAGAAAAAATCCTTCATGAATAGGGTTGCTTTTTATTTTTACATTTTGTGGTGTTGGGGATGGATCCCAGGTCCTTGCACAAGTCAGGCAAGTGCTCTACCACTAGGCTATATTCTAGCCCTATGAATATGCCTTTTCTTTTTAACTTAAAATATTTACTATTATCACTGTGTGGGCATGATATGTGTGTACGTGTGTGTGCATGCATGTGGAGGTCAAAGGACAACTTTGGGGGGTTGGTTCTCTCCTTCCACCTTTATGCAGGTTTTAGGAATCAAACCCAGGTCACCAGGCTTGTGCAGCAAGCACTTAACCGACTAATCCATCTCGCCAGCCCTCCTTTGAACTTTATAAAAAATAATATTTTATTCATTATTTCTTTTGAGTGTTCACATGATTTTTAAAAATTTTTTTAAATAACTACATGATTAGAAGAAGCATTTCACTACAGCTTTAACGTATTCAGTAACACACTCCAGGGCAAGAGTACATACATCTCTTTCACAAGTGGCTACAAGTTTCTAGGTTCACAGTTGATCACATTTTTTAAAAATACAGAAACAGTGAATGACACTGTAACAACTTCTGTCCAAAACTCATTTACTTTTCTGTAGAAGCCATTCTAGCAAAGCACTGCCCAGTTATTGCTTAAAGTTCTTTGTTTCTTGAGACAGGGTCTCATGCATCTGAGACCACAACCTTGCTTCATATCTGAGGATGACCTTAAACTCCTGATCCTCCTGCCTCCACGTCACAAGTACTGAGATTACAGGCATGCACAGCAGGCTCTGGCCTTTCTCTTTTAGAACCAATACACAGACATTGAAACACAAAATTACACGTAAGGGTTTATTAATTGTAAAGTATGTACACACAAACCTCCAGAAAAACCTTACAGTTAGAATAGTCCTAAGTTAATGGTTTTTGTGGAATAATCATTAAGGGAATTATTTCAACAAATAATAACAGTTAACAATACTTCAGGCATCACATAAAACTCAAGTCCAATTTCATTTGCTTCTGGGGCTGGAACCCAAGGCTTCATGCATGTTAGGTAAGCTCTCTACCAACTGAGCTACACTACCTAAAGTTCTGTTGCCTAAAGTTCTCTTGCATAGTTAAAAGAAAGCAGGAAAGACTTTGATTTTTCAGTGCCTGTGGAAACAAACCCATAAACTCTGGTGAATTTTTATGAATCTGCTGAGAAGTTACCTTGGTTTCCCGGAGGAGGAACTGCAGGTCCCGCCCACTGAGGATGCCGTGGTTTTTCACGTAACTGGGAATGTTCTTCGTGATGGAGCCGTAAACAGTGGCATGCACTTCCATGTATGTGTGTATTATATTCAAGTAGAACTGCTTATCCTAAAGTGGAAACACAAGCAGAAAGTTCATTAGTATGATCTGCCTGGTAGGTCAGAGCCTCTTGTAAGAGCTAGATGTCACAGAGATAGGAATTGTTAATATTGAGATCTCACAAGTGTGGCAAACCAATACTGAGATTTCTTTTAAAAGCAGTCTGGTTCAGAGCTGAAGAGATGGTTCAGTAGATAAAGAGGAAGACCTGAATTTGGATCCCAAAATCCATGTAAATGCTAGACAGGTGTGGCAACCTGCCTGTAATCACTGTGCTTGGGAGGCAGCGACAGGGGATCCCTGGAGCATGCTGGCTTTGCTAGACTAGACCAATCAACTATCTCTGAGTTCAAGCGAAACTCTGTCTCAATATATATGGTGGAGAGCAATCAAGAGAGACACCTGGCATCAAATTCTGGCCTCCACATGCACATTATGTAGACACACACACACACATACACACACACACACACACACACACAATAATTTGTCTCAATTTTGAGGGAAGAAACAGTTGCATTGCCACTGAAAGATTTGTAAGCAGTAGCATGTTATATACAAAAAGTATTATGGCATAACAAAAGCTGATGGCCAACTGTTTGGAAATATTATCCTACTTTGGAAATTATGAGGGACCCAACACATTGCTTTTGGCTCACCCTCTCCATTGAGGAGGAAGTTTAGGGGAATGAAGGCCTGAAGAAGGCAGTCAGTTGGACTAGAGTATTTATCTGGAGTTGTTAAGCCATCCCCAGGGAATACAAACATTTCCCCAGTGCTCGCCAATACTTCTTGTGATGATTAACTCATGTGATTAGAACTGTAGCCCATTTTGTTCTGAAGGTGGGGAAGAGGAGGGTTTCCCACAAGATGCACTGGTGCATTTAGCAGCTGGAGAGCTGAGGGTACCCAGGTGGGCTAAAGTAGAAAGAGAGGTTAAATGGGAACTTTGAGGCACTCTGAAGCAGTCTTGAGTAGTTATACTTTTTATCAACAGCAAAACTAAATCCTGTTCCCACGTCTGTAGTTGCCAAGTTTCCAGGCATGTTTTCTAAATTGAAACCACCTGCATGTAGAAGTAAGATTACTTTCCCTTCTCTTTGCTTGTGTGTGACTAAGTTGTACAAGCCTGATTTTTATATGGCTTGGTTGTTTGGGTGTTTTTTTTTTTTTTTTTTTTTTTTCTTTTTATTTTTTTTTTTTTTTTTTTTGAGACAGGGTCTGCCTGTAGCCCCAGCCTTCAC